GGTAGCCGCTTGGATAGGGGACGTACGGATGGAGGAGTTGTTGGATGTGATGGTGGTGGGGCGCCTTTTCAGCCGCCTGAGGAGGCGTTGGCATTGGGTCTGCCACCTCACCATGTTTTGGACACCTTCTTGGACGACTACTATCGGAGCGCACGCGTGCCTTGGGGCCACGAGGGTGTCAGCGACAGGATGCAGCGCAAGGTCGACCAGGACAATTTCTTCGCGCAGATGATCGTCGAGATCGCCAGGCTCGCCGTCGGCGAGGGGCTGGGCTTCATCATCGTGGGGCCCGCTGCGCTGAAAGTGCTGGAGTGGCCCCCCTGGGACAGGCTCGCTGCCTCGGAGGGCGTCTTCTCGCTGGGGGCGGGGGGTGTGCTGGTGCTGACCAACCTGGCGACGCTCGTGGAGAGCGACGGGCTGTGGGGCGACTTCGCGCTGGTTTCGGGCGTCGGCGTCAACTACGGGGGCGACTTCGTGGGCCGCTATGCTGCGAAGCTCGAGAAGCTCGACTACGCCTGGGACGAGGTACCGAAGGGGGCGCAGGCGCGGCTTCGGCAAGGACGACCTCGGGTGGTACAGAGCAGGGGGCAGGTGATGCCGATCGGTTCCTCCTGGGTCAACGAGCCGAGGTGGTAAAAGCTCTTCGGAGGGCGCTGGGAAGCGGAGGAACACAACAACGTGTTGGAGATGAGGCGCGTGATCAGCGCGCTTCGGCATTTGGCAAGATCCTCGGGATGCTGGAACAAGCGCGTCGTGATACTGACGGACCCGGCGGTCTCCATGGGCGCGCCGCAAGATGGTCGTTCGTCGGCGACGGCCCTTCTGAGACTGGCGCGGGTGGCATGTGGAATCTCTTTGGCGCTTGGTATCAGGGGCTATGCTACCGACGAGCCCCCAGTCAATGGAGCGCGGCAGACGGGCCGAGCAGGGGGGTCGACATCGGGGCGGCGGGCGAGACCAGAGAGGCCCACAGGATGAGGACGACGCCGAAGGCGGTGCGGCCGCTGCTGAAGGCGCTGGAACGACGGCGGTGATCTGCGGGACCTTGGCGGCGCGTTTGCAGCTCAACTACCGTCTCAGCAGGCAGGCTCACGCCTCCCAAGCGAGATCGCGGCGGCTGCGGGCGTCTACCTCGGCGACGTGGACCGCTGCTGCTGCCGCGTCGGGAGCTACGTCGACTACGAGAAGCAGCGGCAGATTGTCCTTCTGGATCGCGCTGGTGACTGCGCTGCACGCGGCGCATGGGGCACGGCGCGGGGGGCCCGCCCCCCCCGCTGCAGAAGCGAGGGGCGCGCTTGGCAGCAGGCCAAGCTGGGCCGCCCGCGCTGGAACAACCGCCCGGTGGCCCACGCAGTGGACGACGCGACCAACGTCGTCTACGAGCGGGAGGCCAGGGCTTTCCACGTCGATTGCAAGCGCGGGGAGGCACCCCTCATGGCGCTGGAGCAGAGGGGCCGCGGCCTCGGCAACTACATCAGCGTGCGGGGCGACAACAACGGGTTCATGCACATCTTCGAGGACCATCGAGGCAAGCTCCCCACGGCACATCGGGCGCTGAAGTCGCGGGCGCGCACGCAGTTCGGTGGGGGTGGGGGGGCGGGGGGGGGCGCCCGATCCCATTCCAACCGATGGGGGTGATCATCGCGGGGGTGCTCGAGACGGGCCACCTGCTGGAGGGCTGCGCATGCACCATCCAGCTGGGCGGGCGGCTGCGGGGGCAGGACTGGGAGATGCTGCGGGCCAAGCATGTCAGCTTCAGCCCCGACGGCGGCGGGGGGCTCAAGCTGGGCGACCGCATGATGGGCCATGACCAAGACGGGCGCCAATCACGGAGCGGTCCTCAAGTGGCCGACCTCGAGGGTCCTGCTGACGGTCCTGGTCCAGGACCGTGAGCCCGAGGATCAGGTCTTCACGTTCACCCAGCCGAGCTTCCGCGAAGTCTGGCTGAAGACGTTGAAGCACGTCGGCTTCGAGAAGATGGGGCCACCGCGTGGGATGCGGCACGCGGCGGCGGCGAGGTTCGCTGCGCTGGGCGGCGACCTGGGGGCGGCGCGCCGCCGTGGGCGCTGGGCCTCCACCGCCGGGCTGCAGAGGTACACCAAGTGCCGCATCCTGGTGGAGAAGCTCAGCGAGCTCGAGGGCTCGCAGATCAGGCAGGGCTGCGCCTTCTGGCGCCGGCCGCTGCAGGCGGTGCACGACGCCGTCGCGCGCGGCCCTTGGGCGCCGCTCGGCAAGCGCCTCTCCCAGGCGCTCGCGAGCGGCCGAGAGCGTGAAGTGCCCGTTCGCATGTATTGTTCCACGTAGACCCTGCCCCTACTCTCTCTTCGCCGGTCTTTCACCAGAGCCGAGTCTGGGATGAGTGGGCCTTTTCTTGGGGGGGGACGGGCGCGTTGTTTCTAGTTTTACAGAAGCAGATCAGCCTCGCCCCCCTCCCTCCCTTATTGCCCGTGCTCGGCTGTTTTTGAAGTTCAGGCGTTTGGCCAGTGCCCCTGCGGGGTCGGCTGGGAGGGGCCGAAAAATGCACTATGCTAGGACGTCTTATCGTTGAAACTCAGGTAGCTCAGACGGGATACCGAAGCTCTTGAAGCTGGCACCCAGTGTTAGCGTTTTCCGCTCGAAGAATCTAGGGGTTGGAACCCCACCCGCACGGCGCTGCGGTGAAATGATCGTCTTGCCTGTCTTCTTTCAGTCGGGCTTCGAACAGCCTTCTCGGGCTCCTCCCCGCCGCCCCCCCTCAAGGGTTTTCAGCCCCTCCCCAGACCGGCTCTGATTAGATGGTAAAATTGTACATAGTGGTTATTGAACTTAACTTTACATCCCCTTCGTAGTCTGTTAGCCGCCTTTCGCCCTCTGTCCTCTCCCGTCCCCCTTCGAGCTCAAGTCGGCCCCGCCGCGCCCTCCCTTTTTTGCGGCGTGCGTGCGTGCGTGTGGAAGGGGGGGGGGGGGGGGGGGTCGAAAAATGCATTCTGCTAGGACGTCCTGTTTTGAAGCTCAGGTAGCTGAGACGGGGTGCCGAAGCTTTTGAAGCTGGCACCCAATGTTGGCGTTTTTCGCTCGAAGAATCTAAGGGTTGGAACCCCACCCGCGCGGCGCTGCGGCGAAATGATCGTCTTGCCTGTCTTCTTTCAGTCGGGCTTCGAACAGCCCTCTCGGGCTCATTTCCGCCGCCCACCCTCAAGGGTTTTCAGCCCTTCCCCTGACTGGTTCTGAGTAGATGGTAGAATTGTAAACGATTACGTTTGCCCAGCTTGGGGTCAAAATCCCCCTGTAGGGTGACGCGCCCGACTTAATCCTAGCCATCGCTTCTGGTCCTTGGGGCGTCTCCAGAGGCTTCTCCTGTCAGCGGCGAATCAGAGCGCGCGCGCGTGCGTTCGCACGGGCTTTGAGAGATCGCCTCGCGCGAGCGGTCGCGACACGGGGGGGGCGCGCTTCGCGCCGATTCCCTCGTTGCTCGCACGCCCGAAGCGAAGCCCGCAGATGCCAACGCAGGCCCGCCGCCCTCGCGCGCGGGGCCGGCAGCGCCGCCGCCGGCTGCGCGTCGGACCCCCCCCGCGAGGCCTCCCCGGGGCCCCCGCGCGAGGAATGTCGGAGGAGGATTAGGAGGAGAAGGAGGAGGAGGAGGAGGAAGAGGAGGAGGAGGAGGTGGAGGATTGAGGAGAGGGAGGAGTAGGATGAGGAGGAAAAGAAGGAGGCAGGATCGAGATTCCTGCACGCGTTTTGCAGTTTGTCCTGGCTCCCGGGGGGCCCTCTGGAGACCGGTGGAGACTTCCAGCGGTCTCCACGGATGGGAGGGGAAGGGCAAGAGGGGGAAGGTGCAGTCGTCGGGCAAGCCTACGATGAGGATGAGTTTCTTTGGAGCGTTCCCGGAAAGCTCGCTGGGCGTTCCGGATCGTTTTGGGGCGGCCGCGGCGACCAACACGTCATCCAGAAGCGCCAGCTCCTGGAATTCTCGCTGCATTGTCATCCGATGTTGTCTTTACCAGGTTTTCGTTTTCATTCGCAGGCGATCATAAGGTTGACCCTGCAAAGCGGAGGGCGCCCCCAGGCAAGGCGGCCGAGTAGAAGCCGTGAGTCTTGTGACTCTCGCGAGTGGCCGAGTGGAAGCCGCGAGTCCTGTGAGTTTCGCGTAACATGTTCCGTGCTTCTTTCAGAAGAACCGCGCGACCTCTACGATGTGTTTGTCGCCGGTCGAGACTGGAGGAGGAGGAGGAGGAGGAAGTCTGCTCGTGCCGACGCACAAGCAGTGGCGAGGCGTACCCGCTCGCCTATAGGCCCACCAAGGAATGTTCTAAGAAATTGCTGTGGTTTGCGCGAAATTGTTTTCGAACATTTCTGGCTGAGACTGTCCTATGTTATCACATCGGGCTTGTGTGCTAAGAATAGCGCGCTTGTTATTCGATCATTTTTGGGTTCTAAGAACAATTCGTGGTAGGACTACAAGGATGCCGGGGCACTCGGTTCTGGTTCAATATTTACAGAGTTTTGGTGATCGATGCTGAAACATTTCTTTCTTCGGACCTCGTTTATGCCGGGGGAAGGGTAGGGATAACAGCTTGAACTCCGAAGGACCCTCTTCTTATCCATGTCGCCCGCCCCAGCTTTTCGGAGAGCTAGAGCCAAATCAGGTGCATACATGAAGTGTCGATTTCTTAAAGGAGGTTGAAGGTACAGCCAATACGCTGAAATACTTGGTCGTTCCTCTAGCGTTCCTCGTGTTCCCAGGTATTACTGGGGCCATACACTTGGTTCGCGTCCGTATTCACATTGCCTTCTTGTAGGAGCTTGATTGTATGGACCACATGTCGATGCTCGACCGCCACCGATCGGGCGTTGCAAAAGGTGTCGTTGGCCCAAGGTGCCCCGAGGACTTCTTGGGAGGCCCAGATGCCCTACAGAGCACCCTTCACGAGGCCCAGAGGGCCCCTGGGGGGGGGGGCTCCAGGGCGCGAAAAGCTGCGGGCACATTGGGGCCAGCAGCACCGTCGGCTGACCCCGAGCAGGTCCTGGCGCCACGACCTTCATCATCCCCGGCGAGATATTCCCCACCTCCGTGCGCGCCACTTGCCACGGAGTGTCGTCGGCCGCGGGCAAGCTGGGGGCCTTCGCGGGGATGTACCTCTTCTAGGGGGCCACATGCGAACTCTACCCCTACCCCCCCCACGTTTTCACAGGTGGAAAGTGGGGTTCACCTCGCGCGGGGCTCCCGAGCGAAGTGAACACCACCCTCCCCCTCAGAAGACGTGGGGGGTAGGGGTAGGGTTCGCAT